TGATCAACCTTTCTGTTTCTATGTCAATACCATGCAGTTTTTATTACTATTGCTCTTTAGTACAGCTTGAGATTAGGGATGGAGATATCTCTAGAAGTTCTTTTATTGTACAGGATTTTTTTTTTTTTTTGCTATTCTGAGCTTTCTTTCTTTCCTTTCTTTCTTTCTTTCTTTCTTTCTTTCTTTCTTTCTTTCTTTCTTTCTTTTTCATATGAAGTTGAGAATTCTTCTTCCAAGATCTGTAAAGAATTGTGTTGATATTTTGATGGACATTGCATTGAATCTTTTGGTAAAATGGCCATTTTTACTATGTTACTTTTATAAATCCATGAGCATGGGAGATCTTTCCCTCTTCTGTTATCTTTTTCAATTTTTTCTTCAGAGACTTGAAGTTCTTGTCATAGTTCTTTCACTTGATTGGTTAGTTACATGAAGACTGTATATTATTTGTGACTATTGTGACGGGTGATGTTTCCCTAATTTCTTTCTTGGCCTATTTATCGCTTGTATAAAGGAGGGCTACTGATTTTTTTTTTTTTTAGTTAATTTTGTATCCAGCCACTTTGCTGAAGGTGTTTATCAGCTGTAGGAATTCTCTGGTAGAATTTTTGGGGTCACTAACCACAATAAAGGCAATATTCAGCAAGCCTTTAACCAACATCAAGTTAAATGGGAAGAAACTTGAAGCAATTCCACTAAAATCAGGAAACAAGACAAAGCTGCTCACTCTCTACATCTCTTCAATATAGTACCTGTTAGAGCAGTAAGTTCTTAGTTAGAGCAATAAGACTATTAAAGACCAAGGGGATACAAATAGGAAAGAAAGAAGTCAAATTTTCACTATTTTCAGATGATACAAAAGATTTTAACAGTACATTATTAATGCCTTCGGGCATTTTCACTCAGAGAACTTTAGAGGTATCAGAAGAATGTCTACATCTATCTGAAAAAGCCACTTAAGAACTCATATTTTCCAAATGTTCTTCAGCCTCACCAAACAAAAATAAAATTCAAAACAAGCTGAATGCAGTGTCAGGAACACCCAGCTGTCTTCTATTGCAAAGAAATGAAAAAAAGAGTCTCTAGAATTTTTATGAGAAAATAAGTAAAGCTATTCTTTACAGTAAATTTTTGTTATTTAGTTATATTTCATGAAATGTTATATGTGCTAATATTCATACCATTGTTTATGTTTACATATTAAAAGTTTGCTTCCAAATATTATATATTAAATAAACTTACAATTTGTCAATTTTAGTTTCTAATGTTAAATATTACTAGACTAAATTCATATAAGCAACAATAGTTTACTGTACTCCAAAATGATTAGCTAGAATAAAGGAGTCCAGAATGTCAAAAAGTTTGGGAACTGTTAGTATGAATAATGGGCTTTAGATGTAGACAAATCCTGGTTCTAGTCTTAAGTGCTTCTTACTGGTATGGAGTAGAATAAAATAATTAACAGCTGCCCTTCAGTTTCCCAATATACATAAGAGTGGCTCGAGGTACAGAGCAGTAACAAACATTTTTTTGTGAAATAATGCAATCAATACACCTACCAAATGACAAAATGACTGTGACTATGATGATTTCCAAAGCAGCACCATCTAAGAATGAAGTGATCACAGAGTAGCCACACACATACACACATAATTTGTATACATCTTAGAAGAGTGTTGACCATTCTTTTCTCTCTTTGATCGGGTCCAGCTCTAGCCATCACCGACCCATAGAACGCCTGACAGACTAGGAAAAAACGCCTTCCCTAAGCAGTTCCGCACTGCCTTTTCTTTCTATCTACTCCCCCTGGCCCTAGCCAATTTGCTACGTTCTACGTGCCTGTGGTCTCAACCACCTACTAGTGAAGTGAAGTGAAGTCTTTTACAATGTCTGTGACCTTGTATTCAGACTGAAAAGTAATTTTCCATCATTATAGGCAGTGGTATTAAAAGAAATCACCAACACCACAGTTCCATGGATTAAAGCTAGCAAAGCTCTCCAGCTCACCCTCACCACCACAGCGGTTGCCCAGAGATTTGAGGTACCTTGGCTGTTGCCCATTCATATTGCTTGCCAGTGTGTTGTAATGGTACTGGGTTCTTTTCAAAAATATTTCAAGTAGTTTCAGGGGTTTGGGTAAATCATAACCCAATTCTTCTCCAATGCTATAACTCTTAAAAGCAAGTAAATGGGATTATTCCTAGCCAAAGTCTTATTTCAACATAGCTCAAGAAATTAATTTTCTTTCTCAAAAGTCATTCCATTTATAGAGTTTTAGGTTTATATGAAACTCAGAATCAAGCTTTCACTCAACAAAGCTGTGGCTTAAAATGTTACCTCAGCAAAACTCACTCACAACTTTAACCTTGAAACCCAGGCATGAACCAAGAAAATATTTTTTCAGGAAAAAAATGGATTGTAAGTGTAATTTCGGCCTTTAATTTCTGGAAATCATAATCTCCTAAGTGCTCAGGCGATTTTAGGTATACAAGGTCATATTCTACACATGGAATTCTTCAGAAAGATGCTATAAACTGTTGTTGAATTATTTGTAGATATTCTCCTCAGTGAATCTAACAAGCTGTTTTATATTGAAGCATCAGATCCAAGCATTTCGTTCATATGATCCAAGAACTGCTACTCTCATTTAACAGATGAGAGATTAATTTAGTTGACATAGTGAGAGCAGAGAGCTTGTGTTAATTTAAATTTATTAAAGATCAAATTAATAAATGAAGTCATGGCAAAAGCCTGAATCAAGACCTCTTCATTGAATAAAGGTGCCTAATTACCTTTCTATTGTCTTATCCAGAGTAAAAAAAAAAGACGTATGGATCGTAGCCTATCAAATTTCCTTATGGTAGCAATTGATAATTTTCACCATTTAGTAATTCTTCAGAACTAGTTCCTATCAAATGAGGTCAAAGCAGTAAGTTGAGAGAGTGAAGAAACTGATTCAAGTTTGAATCATCAAGAAAGGTCAAAATCCTGGTGTGTCGTTTCATCCAACGTGAACTTGTGCACTAATTGTAGCCACTGGGTGGGTGGGCAAAGGAGACTCTCAGCTGGTGAAGACAAAAGGAGAAAGCATCTTTTAGCATGCTTATTGTAACCTAAGGAACCTCTCCAACTGCTTGCAGACTGCAAGGGCTCTTCTCTTCTCCCAATTAGAAATGAACGTCTTGCTCTACTGTGTGATGGTCAATTTCACATTACCGCAGCAATGCTTAAAGAATGCTGCAACTTATTCTACCATTTTCAGTTGAGAATTGTCAAGGCATAGAGTTGGGCCCTACCAAATGAAATCTAGACCTAGCTCATAAGTAGAAGCAGCTATATCATTTCCTAAGTCCATGTGTACAGTCGTAAACTACCACCACCTTCATCCTGAGACAGACAAGCCTCGGGGCTTTGACCCCAGAGCCCCAATTGCCTTAATGCTTTCAGAAAGGTTTGCTAGGCAAAACATTCAGAAAAGAAAACCAGAGTGTTTTGAGGCAAAGAACTGGCTGTATAGCTGTGGACTTCCTGCAGTTCATGCAATCATCTTTAGTCATTAATTCTTTAAGTTTTGAAACGAAAGATTCAACAATTTTTCCCAATTTCAAAATCATGATTTTATTATTTGTTTTTCTGTAGTCCATTCTATAAGACAAAGCCAAGAATCAGTTCATTTTATGAAGAGTTGGTTCTGAAGGTGATAGGCATGACAAGGTAGCCTTCTACCTTGAGCATTTTACCTCAAAGTCTCCCAACTAGATCCGGGACTATCATTTCCATACTTTAAAAATCTGAAATAACTGTACTAATTAAACATCTAATAGCTTATATCAATAAGTCTAGGGCAGAAGTAAATTGCTATTCATGTCATACATCTATTTCACAGAATACTCAGTACAACTATAGTAGAATACTGACAAACAACTCCAGTCCAACAGACCTACAACGTCAGAGGGCAACATTTGAAAATATACTCAAGCCTATAGTCTTCAGTCATAGTAAACTCACAAAGCCAAAACCCAGAAAATATAAATAACTTACCCAATGGTATACTATACTTTGCTCATGTTTAAATTCTTAGTTCTTGAGAGACTAAAACAGGAGGACTGCTCTGAGTCTGAAGCCAGCCTGGTTACTGAGAGGCCAAACAAAGAAAGACTTGTCTACAGAGCAAGACCAGTACTTTCTGAAGAACCAAGAGTGCAAAATAAGGTAACTGGTGTCAGAGTGCCATGAAGATAAACCACCTGACAACGAGGTGCTATGTATTACGGCACAGAAAGAAGGGGGAAGCAACCATGGTGCTGCATGAATATTTCGTGAAGTGATTTATGAACTTCATTTTCCCTGTGTGGAATACTTCACAGTCTCAAGTGTCTAACATGAAGTAAAGAGACTCAACTCATGGCTCAAATGCAAAGAAGCGGAAGGTAAGACAACATCACTACAGTTTCCATTCCTTTTGAATGGGAAGAAATTAAGGAAAGACAAAGCAGCTGAAGGCTGAGAGAGTTCAAGGACCTCAGTTTACACCCATTCTTAAGTGTTCCTCAGCTGCTAGAGCACTGTCACATATACACAAAGCCAACACTAGTCATCATCTGTCCATGTTTACTTGATTCAAGCAAGTAAGCACAGAATTGTTAGAAAGGGCTCCAAGTCAAGGGCTACCCATTCCACCTCTACTGATTCTTACAGTCAGTGATTAGGGAACCAGCCAAGACTCCTCTCAAATAAACCTTGGATTTTCAGTCAGACGTGGTGGCACACGCCTTTAATCACAGCACTCAGGAGGCAAAGGTGGACAGATCGCTGTGAGGTCAAGCCAGCCTGCTCTACAAAGTGAGTCCAGGATAGCCATGGCTCTTGATACACAGAAAAACCCTGTGTTGAAAAACCAAAACAAACAAACAAAACCTTGGTCTTTCAGTGCTTAGGTACAATTCAGTCACTTTCCAACATAAAATGTTAGTACTAGCACATTATAGGAGCACACTTACCCAATGTGGTTGGTTCTTAATGAAATTTCCAGTTCTCTTAGCACTTGCGTAGACTCTTGAACACGCCTTCTGAATTTCTATAATTCAACAAAATATGACCTTAGTGCCTGATGCTACTGTAGCTTACTTATAATAAATTTATGTTGTCTTCTAAAGTGCATTTCTCATACTTCTTTTGTTTTATTCAAAAGCACACAAATCTTGGTCATGAGAAAAAGAACAAGAAAGGACAAGGAGAATTGCTTGCTTCATGTAATATCCTAAAGTAGATTACTTTCCCTGTCCCACATATACAATAATAATCATCATTGTTCAGGAACCCCAGGCCACCACTAGCTTCAAGTTTCACCAGGATGACTACAGACTTGAGACATAGTCATACTCATGGCAATGAAATATTAAAATAAAAGAGTAAATGGTAAAACCAATGAAAAGAAGATGTGCATAGGATGATGTGAGTGTATAGAAACCCAAACATTCATTTTCAAGAGTGTTCTTGCCCAAGGAGTCACTGATGATAGCATACATGAAACTCAACAGAGATTTGGTGGCCACGGTTTTTATTAGGGGCTGATCTCATTGGTACAATGCCTCACACAAGCAACAGTTCCAGACCCCAGCAATAAATCAGGTCTTCAGCATAAACCATGTTGTTTTCATAAATGCGTTAGGCACAGAGAGCTTTTGTAGAGAATACAAATGAACTCTGATGGCCAACTTTGTAATAAGACCTTTTTTTTTTTTTTTAGATTTATTTATTACTTATACAACATTCTGTCTGTGCACCAGAAGGGGGCACCACATCTCACTATAGATGGTTATAAGCCACCATGTTGTTGCTGAGAATTGGAACTCATGACCTTTGAAAGAACAGACAGTGCTCTTAACCTCTGAGCCACTCTCTAGCCCAATAAGACCCTTCTAAAGACAGCAGTCTTGAGCATAACAGTCTTGAGTTGACCTAATACGTTCAAAAAAGGAAACAAAACAACAACAACAAAATCAGAATAGTCATGTAGAAAGTCACTCGTGAAGGGCCATGTGCACATGCATACATTCAGAATGTCCTCCCTCACTCTTGCTACCAAGAACCCACCACCTGTCTTTCTAGAGGTACCCTGTCCTTTCTTCAATGAATCCTGCTGCGATACGTGTGTGTGTGTGTGTGTGTGTGTGTGTGTGTGTGTGTGTGTGTGCGCGCGCGCGCGCATATTTTTTAAATCTAAGAAGTTCCAAGATACTATGGACTACTTTGCCCATCAGTTCTCTGGAGGATTTTTTTCCCTACAAAAACCTTAACAGTGACTATAGTCTCAGGCTACTCTGGAAGAAGGAAATTCAATGTACTATAGTCACTGTTAAGGGTTTTTTAAAGGTCCAGGCTATCTGTGCTACAGCCTGATCCTCTTAAGCTTCTTTACTCACTGGAAAAGGTTTTGTGTATTACAGCTCAGGATATGAAAGACCCTTGTCCTCTGTTGCCACCAAGTGCAATAAGAATAGAGTCCTCTATTTCCAGGCCACTCGTCATGGCTCCCACACTTCAGAGAAACAGTATCCAAAGGCAAGGAGGAGAAGGTGGTTGGTAGCATGATTCCAGACTGTGGAGTTGCAAGAGCTATGCCATATGCATGGGAACCAGTAGCCCAAAGGAGACCAGCAACACTTCTTGGCAGTGGCAGGCTCCTACTGCCCCTTCTCCTCTTCTCCTTGCTTTCTTGAAGTAGTTGTCACTGTTATTCCCAAACACTGTTAAAAAGATTGTCTTAGGTTTTTGTAATCAATATACACTGGAATATAAGAAATAGAGATATCCCCAAATATAAGGGGGGGAGTGTTCTCTCTCTGCTGCCAAGAAAGAACTAACACATGGCAAGGCCATCGACAGTTTAGAGAGATATACTAGACCTCCCTGCAATGAATATACTAAACGAGGGATTTGACAGGAAAAGGAAAGTAAGATGGGGGCCTGGCTAACAGCCAAAGTTCCTAGCTGCTTGTTAAGACATTTCAGAGAGGTTCTGTGCAGTCTCTACTGGTCCCTAAGTATACCTCAGGCTTCAAAGAAGTCATCTCCTGATGATCTTTTACAAAGGGCACAAGCATAGTACTGAAAACATAATACAGTTGTAAAGAGGTCTGACCAAAGGACATGAAGAGAGAGAAAGCGAGGGAGGGAGAGAGAGAGGAGAGTAAAAGAAAGAAAAGACAAGTAGACTGATATGGATGGTATATGCACACACATACATATTGACAGGAACACAGCCTGACAAAGCAACTGAGTCAAAGCACTGAGCTACGAGCAGCAGCAGCAGCAGCAGCGTTCATCAGACAGCTGTGATGGCTGTGCTCAGCACTGTAACTTGCAACTTTCTGATGCTGAGACAAACTAAAATTCACCCTGTGCTGCATGCTCCATGGAGCAGCTCAATTTTCAGTTGGACTTTGGAATGCAGAAAAGCCTTAGCATCCACTTTTGCTAACACATAGCTGTGAGCGTTAACTCTTTGCATTTCTAAACTGCATCCACAAAATTTTAAATTTAAATTTCTCTCCTCAAAGAGAAACCTTGAAATTGTAGGACCCAGCAGAAAGCAAGAGCCAGGGAGGATTCCTGGCTACTAAGGAATCACTACCTAGCAGTCCCTAGCTTCTCCTTTTCCTCACAGATACATGCCAGCTATAACCCAGGGAGGCAGCTGAGCCCAGATAGGCCACACAATAGGTTTCTACTCACAAATGTAGAGTCAGCAAAGGACCAGACTCCTGTCTTCATGGTCTGTAACCTCTTTCCATGCTAGACATGAACACAGCCTTCCCTGAGACACAGGCTAATAAAGCTGGTATAAAATGAGAAGACTGGTTTATGAAATCCTGGACTCAGAGATCTCTAATTTAGGTTCTTCCTTCCCTTCCCTAGGGGTTTCCATTTAAAGCTATTCTAAACAAAATGTGCTTGGGTATCTTTTAAGGGCAAACTAAGTATCTTCTATTCAATTTGAACAAAAGATTAATGAATGGACTATTGGAGGACCCTGAGCACAGCTGAAGGAACCCTGCTCAGCCTAGGCAGTCTGGCTAAAATCTAAAGGCCATATCTGAACACTCTCCAAACACCGTACCACAGCTGAGAATTTTAAGCTCATTTACCTGAAAGCCATGTCTTATTCTAAGCAAATCTCCTTTTTTCTGGGGCTCAAGCGTTACAATTACGTTATGTGGATCAGATCCTTTCCTATTGCCAGCTCCTGACAGAATCTTACTGCGGCAAGGAGTCGGGGTGCTAATCCAACATCCAGGCCATTTCTCCTGAGATGAATGACAGACCTTGAACAGACCAAACAAGGCTGTTCAGGTGGACACATGGGTCAGAACAGACAGATACAACCACCATCAGGCTCATTCCTTTATTAAGCGCTCTGGGAAGGAATGAGATGATTAAAAAGAGGTGCCCTATTTTTTCCTGTTTGGTTTTCTTTAGGTCTCCTGAGGGTACGGGCTAGGGGCCGAGGCGGCAGTTTCTGGAAGTATGGTTATATACCTCATGCTTTCTGGAATATGGGATTATTTCTAGAATGAACTGCATGTTGCATGAGGAGAGGGCTCACTCGATCTGTATATAAATACTTCCATGCCAGCCCTACTCAGGTCATACGAATGTGCCTAGTGCTAGTGGAACACTCTACCACCATCTCAAGTCTGGGGATTTCTAAAGAACCAGTAGAATTACTTTTGTATAGACTGAGCACCCTTGCAGAAACAATAGTTTTAAAAAGCTTTTTTTTTTTTTTTAAAGAAAAAATAGGATTTCTATTATGTGTGTTTCACAGGTGTTCCTTGTCACAGCATTACCTGACCTTTAAAATTAAGGTTGTTCTATGCACCGGGCAAAAAATAAATCAGAGAAACTCATAGGGGTTAAACAGCTATTGCTTTCTGAAAGGAAAAAGAGGATGAGTACAGACCTTTTTAAAAATGATCATCAAATTTCTGAGGGGGAGAAATATTACCAGGGCATTCACAGAAGATGAGGGAAACCATGGGACATAATTGCTCAGTATGGAACCAAAGTGTGCATCTCCATTTCCTTTTCTTTTAAAAAAAATTTATTTATGTGTATGAATGTTTTGCCTGCGTGAAAGTCTGTGCACCACGTGTGTCCCTGTTGTTCCCAGAGGTAAAAAGAATGCCCTAGAACTAGAGTTCCAGATGAATAAGAGTCACCACATGTGTGCTGGGAACTGAACCCAGGCCCCCAAAAGAGTAACAAGCGTTCTAAGCCACAGAGCCATCTCTCTAGCCCCTGGATCTCAAAGTTCAATCATTATTTCTATCGTTTAAAACCCTCTTGTCTGCAAGTAAACCATAGGACAAACTCTCAAGAAACCTCCAGGGGAAACCAGAGCTACTCTTTTTTGTAGGACATTTTTTTTGGCAAGGGGGCATATAGGCAATGAAGAGTTAGGATAGAAAAATGAAGAGAGAAAAGTTAGGGCAGAGTGGAAGGGGAGAGAGAGGCACTACCACAACCAAAAAAAAAAAAAGGAAAGCGAAGAGTGAGGCAAGATGCCTGGAAACAGCTAAAAGTGTGCTTTTCTTCTCTCAGAAATCACGGCTCAGGGTACAACAGAGGGTATTCATTCAGCTTGAGAAGCCTTGAAAGCAGGAGTTGTGAAGGCCAAGGGGAAAGACAAGTGCTATCTGGTACAAAGTCATCAAGGACAGTTCTGCCCTGAGACATCCCTGGGCTGACCCAGCCTGCGGGGCTGTGCCAGGCGACATGCTTAACCACAAGGCATCGGCTTACGCCAATTGTGCAGCTTCACAAAGCAGGGCTTGTTTGCAAAAGGAGAGATGGTTAAGAATGAAATCAGCTATTCCCTCCTTACCTTCTTAGGGGCTGGGGCTGGGGCTGGAGCTGAGCAAGCTGGGAAACACCAACAGAGGATGTCAGTGTGCAGCTAGGAGGACAGCCCCAGAGACTTTCCAGGGTTCTAGAAGTTACACCAAGATGTGAAAAGACAAGCATAGCATTTGGAAGGCCTGCTTTGTTGGGGGCCTAAGCACCTCAGAACTGGACTCACTCATTGCCTTGAGCAATGGGAACTGACAATATCAGTATCCATCAGAGGAACGTCACTGTTGTTTAGGGAAGTTTTCATTTAAGTGCTGAAGATGTTTTTCCCCTTTGCCTTCTCATGTTGATGGCCTCCAAAGCATGCCTGGAGCTCTGGGAAAAACTAACAAAAAAGAAAAGAACTCTTTCCTTTCTGATGTGTAATGGGACTCTATCCATTAAAGAGGAAGCAACAGCCAAGAATGGAAATGTATCCACCTTACCTTCCTGGTTACAGCTGGATCCAGGTAGCCTTTGAGCTTCTGAATGTACGTATGAGGAGGGTTCTTCACCTGGAATCGTTCCTGCAGGAAACACAAAGTTAAGTAAACAGCAGAAATGGTATGAAGGAGTACCACAGCCAGCCGTATGAAACACATTCATGTCATTACTCATGACCAAACACACCTCCAGTGTGAATGTGGCTTTGCTAAGAACCATGACGGACTGATTGTTCTGCCTTCATGTGATCTCTTTGCACAGAGGAAAGCAAGGCTGAAAAATATGCAGTGTTCTCTTCCATAACATAGCTAGTGAGTGATACCACAGGCCTGAATCCATGTCCTCCCAGCTCCAGAGAGGGACTGCTTTCCCTGAAGGCTAGGCAGCAATCACTCAAAGGACCATGCTTGGCCTATGCTTTTCAGATTTTCTGTCAGTAGAAGGTCAGCCTAGTGAATTCTTTGGGATATCTTCAGTGTTGGCAATCTTTCACTTTGTAATAAGTTATCTTTAAAAATAGCCATATTTGAGTCAAGACTGGATAAAACTAATTTGTTTCAAAAATGAGTACTGAGTTAAATGCTGAAAGGTGGCTAGCGTTTAGGTGTGCGAGAGTATGTAAACAGGCACGCATGTTATCCTTACCAGGTTTCTAAAGCAGCCTTCAAATTAAAGATCCCAAACTGTGGTGCACTCAAAGCTGAGGTCAAGGACTGAAGGAAAAAAGGTTCAAAATCAGGAAGGGAAATTCTGAGGGAGGCTTTGTGGACCTGAGCAAATGAATATATGTTGTGTTTTATATGTATGAAACGTTTAAATACATCAGCTCTAAAAGAAAGGTCCTTACTGTGTTCTTTCCCACTCAACAACTCAAAAAATATATTCCTGGTAATTCTTAAAAACCATATTTTAATTTCTTCTACAGGAGAATTTTCTAGTATCACAGCAGCAGTGACTGGCCAGAACAAGATTAAGCAGTTGTATATTTCTTCCAAGAGTGCCATTAATTCCAGTACTCCAGAAGCAGAGACAGGCAGATCTCTAAGTTAAAACACTGGTTGATATGCTAATGTAGGAGGAGAATATCTCACAGGGCTCTGACCCTAGACAAAAATCTTCAGGCAATTAATGACTGCTGAGAAAGAATTAGTCTTCCCCAGAGATGAGCCCTATGATTGGTCATCCAATACCAACTGACTATCCCTAAAAAGAAACATAAAGCAACATGAAAAGAACTCAGCATGCAGAACTTATTTGTTTGTATAGTGATAATTGTTAAAAGGCTATAAATTTGAGAGGGAACTGGACATGGGTGAAACTGAAGAGAAAAGAGGGAATTAGGAAATGATGGAATTATAGTTTAATTAAAAATAAAATAAATTTAAAAAGAAAATACCAGTGTTTAACATTTTATAACAGGGTAAAGCACCTCGTAGTGAACCATTTCATTAACATTTCCTCAAAAATGATCAGGTAACTAGTACAGCATATGAACTGTGTCTCAATAGAGATAAAGAAGAGATCACACTGCTGTTAATTATTATACATCCCTCGTGTACAGATTAAAAAACTTCTCACTAGTAAAGGAAATTTTATTTTAGTCCAGGTACATAATCACCTTTCATCCAGGGCCAAACTTTGTTTCTCAAGGATTAACTTATCTTTAAATGACACTTTATTCCTTATATGGCTGAACTCACTCAAAACCATTTATTGGTAGGTAGTTATATTAAGCATTATATAGACAAGAGAATGGAAAAGTAGGGGATTTGGTGACCTCCTGGCATCATTTTGAATGGTATGTATTACATACATTTGTTATACACATTAAACTATATGAAAGATTCACATATTACATCAAAGATTCAGGCTCAGCTTCCCAACTCTCTGACCCTTGTTCTTTTTTCCATATTATATGAGCGTGCTCATCTTGAATTTCATAGAATAAAATTCTATGGCTATCTCAGCTGCTTAGAATTCTGAGGCAGAAAGACTTCAGATTCCAGTTCTATGCAGACAGCGTAGTTGAACCCCATCTCAACAAATAAATGAGAGTAAATTGAAAACCTGCTCTATCTTCACTCATTCTCACTACATAAAACAGTATTTGTTCAAGGAGTTGAGTTTCTTTTTAATATCATATATGTATGTCACTTTTCTCATAATTTAAATGTCAGGTTTGTTTTGTTTTTGAGACAGGGTCTTGAAAACAGCCTCTAAGTCTTCCTACCTTAGCTTCCTTTAGGCAGGGGTTACAGATAATTCACACCATGCTCAGCTAAAGATGAGTTTGTAAAAGTACCCCACAAAAGACAGCAAACACTCGGCACAGAACACAGCTACAGCAGGCCTGCTGAACAGTATAAATTAGTCAAATTCAGGTCAGCGCTAAAGGCACATGCTGCTGATCCTATTCAATATCCCTCTTGGGTCTATGGCTGTCTAATACCTTCATAATCACATTTCTCATTAACTGCCTCCTCTAAGGTGAGTCGGCCTAGGCATAGACCTGCTCTATAGATAAGAGGAAGGATGAAGACTTTACCAGACTCCACTTAGTTGTGAGGGATCAAGTTCATTGCCACCAAACTGGAAAAGCTAACAAATTAATGCAAATAAAAAGTAATTCATACAAGTAGACCTGGACTCCCAAGGAATGAACAGTACCAAAGTCCCCAAAGGGACATACATTTTTGTTTTATTTAAAAAAACAATCATAAATTTCAGAGAAGTTGGTATAGGGCATACCTGTAGAAGAGATACTTATAAGAGTGGGGGCAGAGAGCACGATGAGACAGAAGAGGACAATGGAGTAAAATGAGGCACAACCGCTAAACCATTACCTACTTTATCTACCAGTTGGTAAAGAAGCCAGGGCTATAGGAGAGTGGTTCTCAACCTTTGGGTCGTGACCCCTTCAGGTGCCTGTAAATCAGGTAACCTGCACATCGGATATTATATTATGATTCATAATTGTAGCAAAATTACAGTTATGAAGTAGCAGGTAAGATAATCTTGTAACATAAGGAGCTATGTTAAAGTGCTGCAGTATCAAGAAGGTCGAGAGCCACTGCTGTGGAAGAGGCAATCTCGCTGTAGAGCCGTTTAGAAGCGTCCCTCTGGTGGTGATTGGATTTTAAAAGCATTCTGCAAAGTAAGCCCCTGCCTCAAAACATTTTAAACCTTGCTATTCTATTTAGATTACCCATTTCAAGGTATTCACACAAATATCAATTGTAATGGTCATTTTATTCATTTACGCATTCAGAACACATATGAGAAGACACTACTATTTTAAAAAGTCAAAGAGAAATAAATTCAATTCTTCAGTTCCAGGGTGTTAAATCTCATCTTCGTGCTACAGCACACAGCATTATGATACAAAGTAGAATATGATAAGAGCCATATGTGAGCATCCCCAGTTCAAAGAGAGGTGAGGCATTTTCCAACTGTGCTGATCAAAGGGATGTCCCTGGAGAAAGAGGGTTTTGGATTCAATGTTGAAAGAGAGGCAGCACAGAGCTATCCCGAGTGTGTGTGCAAGGCAGGAGACAAAAAGTGTTCCAGATGAGGAAGCCTGGGAACAAAGGCAGAGGTGCTTGGAGTGTAATTTCAGAGGCAAGAAGGAAAGGAAAATAAAAGAGAGAAAGAGAGAGAGAAAGAGAGAGAGAAATAGAGAGGATAGAGAGGGAGGGAGGGAAGGAGGGAGGGAGGAAAGGAAAGGAGAGAGAGAGAGAGAAAGAAAGAGAAAGAAAGAAAGAAAGAAAGAAAGAAAGAAAGAAAGAAAGAAAGAAAGAAAGAAAGAAAGAAAGAAAGAAAGAAAGTCAGGTCCAGGACCTCAGCGCAGGGAAAGTCATGGCATAAAGACTCTCAGGTTGCCATTGGAATAGACAAGAGAGGATGCTGAATCATAAGCTAACAAAGAGTGAGCAATTAACAGGGTCAACACAGTGTTTTTAACTACTAGAAAGACAGATGGATAAAACTGCATGACTCCCCCTTTTCCTTTCCTCACATTAAAAGCTGTCCATTTCTGCATAAAACTAGAACTGAAAAGCCAGCATGCCAGATTCCTTCCACAGCCATGGTTTCTTGGAGAAATCTGAAGCATTCTTTAGCTCAATATGAAATCACTTTCCTCGTCTGGGGAGGTGGGGGACACTCAAGAGTTCCATTACAGCTATCAGACTAAAAACAACTGTGATGAGGCTTTTCCAAATAATCTCCATTATTTAGACTAGCAAAAGTTTCTTCTAGTCCAGTCTAGTTCAAGAGGGCTTTCTTGATCAAAATACTCTGTGACTCATCTTCTAATATGCTGGGTTAATTGGGCTTGCTTAATTCCTATTCATCACTCATCATTTTCCTCAGTGTAAGGGTGCACGCTGAAGTTTTTGATCTTGTGATGAAGAGGCCACCCTGATGGGGTTGGCCAATGATTTCAGGTGGTCCAGTGTACAGAGTCAACCACCCCAGTGCTCACTATAAATGCTGTTATTGTGACTGAGGATCGAGAACTAGACACACTAGTGAAATGTCAAATTGGCACCGGGATAAGCTTTCAATTAACCTCCAGATGCTTTGCTCTCCTATTTTAACAGCCAAAGATTTTGATTTTAGATTGCTATTTCTTAATGCACAAACAGCCAAAGTCCTTTACCTAATGCAAGCAAGGGTACTTATTAAAACTACAAATTCTCTTCACCTAATCCATCAAATACCTAGGAATCTGTGTTGTTCTTAATCTTAAATTTTTCATGTATGTCTCCTGGACAAGCAAACGTATTGAGCACAGCTTTACACTTTAGCTTCTACTCACAATTACAGAATTCCTCTCTTTAGTTGATCTAAAAAGGAAACGGACCTGTGTTTTGCCAAGTGGAGATATGGGAAGATGTTGAAATGTGGCATATCTATTGTTATGTCTTTGCATTCATGAGCGTTTTACAAAATGGCAGCAAATAGTATGGGCATGAGGAGCCAACTGCAGAGCACTTGCCTAGAGTGACAGGCTCTGAAGTAGATATTCAGTACTGTGTTTTTGTGGGTTTTTTAAGATTTTTTTTTTTTATATGAGTGCTCC